ATACTGGCGTCTTCCTGTAAGATAACTTTTTATCCACTTGGTGATGTTGTTATCTCCGAGGTAATGTGTAAGTTTCTGAAGCAACTTAGGATGGGAAACGCGGTCAAATGCTTTGGATAGATGTAAAAACATTATATCCGTTTGGCCACATTTGTCCATTGTAAGTACTAGGTCATGGATTGTTTCAACCAGTTGAGTAGTTGTGGACAGTCCTTTCCGAAAGCCATGCTGATTCATGACAATTAAGTTGTTTTTTTCTAGAAATGATACAATGTGTTTCAGGATTAAATGTTCAAGAATTTTTCCGGCCGTACAAGTAAGCGAGATTGGTTGGTAGTTTGATGTGTTCGTAAGGTCACCGGATTTGTGTATAGGAATAACCTTGGCTATTTTTCATTTCTCCGGTATTACACAGGTTTTTAATGTTTTGTTATATATGATCAGAAAGAACTTCGACATCCATTCTGCGTAGCGTTTCAGAAATGCATTTGGTATGTTGTCGGGGCCACAGGATTTTTGAGGGTCTATTTCGAGTAATAGGCAAAAAATGCCTTATTCAATTAGGGTTAAGTCATCTAGTTTGGCAGTGTTACATGGAAGAGAACTGGGGTCTGGATTTTTACCGTTGTCACGTGTATATACTGAAACAAAGTAATCATTAAACTGTGTAGCCTTTTCAGTAGCTTCAGCCGGGGATGGGTTACTGATCTGATGTGGCTTCGAATTAAGGTATCGCCAAAACTTAGAAGGGGGTTCTTTGATAAATTTACTTAAGGTTACATTCATATATTCATCCTTTGCCATTTTTACATCAGATTTTAGTGCACGAGAATGCTCACTTATTTTAGCCGCGCAGCCTGGTAACAATAGTTTATTTATTATTTTCCGTAATCTGGCAAGCTTTCTTTTTAGTTGTATAATTTTTCTTGTTATCCAAGGGTTTGTCTTGCGGACTGGTTTGATCTTTGTGGGAACATATTTTGATGAGCAGTGCTGAATGATTCTTTCAAAGGTTGTCCATAATTCATCTAATGAAACTGTATCATCCTGCGAGAACGAGCTAAAAGTGGAATAGAATTCATCTAGGTAGTCAAGAAGGCTCACGTCATCGGCATTCACCCAGTCGAAAATTCGTGTGCTCCCTTTATGCTTAGGCAGCGGTGTGCCCAACAACAAGGAGCATTTAGTCGCTTTAGGGTCTGATATCCCACTGACAACTTCCCATGAAATCCTGTTTTCTGCTATGCTATCGCTCACAAATATCAAGTCAAGTACATTTCTGCTTTTTGTTGTAACACGTGTTGGCTTCCGAATAAGCTGTCTAAGGCTAAAGTTAAAACAAAGATCAAGCAGCTCATCTGGATTATTAGTGTCGGTAAGATCATCAAGACAACCCCATGTTATATCAGCGAAGTTGAAATCCCCCGGGGGGGGGGGGGGGGGGGGGTAAGGATAATTTTTGTAGACTGCGTGAAATGAGCTTCCACATAATTTGCTAGTACATGTAATACATCACGCGAAGCATTTGGTGGCCGATACATTATGCCCAAATAAAGGAAGCATTTATCTGTCGTTAATCTACACCAAAGTACTTCAGCACCAACAACTTCAGGCATAGGTGTGACGTAGATATTTTCTTTTATCAAAATTGCCATACCACCCCTCGTGAGCACCTATCTTTACGTATGACAGTATAACCCGGAGGGAATATATTGTTACTTGAAATGTTAGGAGAAAGCCATGTTTCTGTTATTGTCACAATATCGGGCTGATGTTCTAGTATGAATGCTTCAAGTTCGGTACTTTTTTTAACAACACTTCTGGCGTTTAGGTTCACTATCACTAGGCTGAGGGGCGTTTCATTTTCACTCAGTTTTTTACCTTCCAGACAACAGATTTCTTTCCTACGACTATCCTCGCTTCTTTATGTTCGTCCCAGACATACAGTTGACCGTTTATCTTTATCTTGTCGTACACAAGTGTGACTTTTTCACCCTTATCTCGGTTCCTCTTGGTGCTGTCCCAAAGTTTTTTCCGGATGTTACGCATACGGAGTGAAAAATCTTCGCCAACTGACACACTGGAATTGTTAAGCTTATAGCAGTTTTTCATTATTTTCGTCTTATCATCGAAGCGTTCCAACTTGATGATTACAGGTCGTGTTTTGTTTTCTGTTTTAGTGCCTAGTCGGTGCATTCTCTCAATTCCCGAGATCGTGACACCTAGAGTAGTTTCAATAAGTTTTTCAGAGATTTGTAGATCTAGGTCATTAGTTTTCTCGTTTTCTTCTTCCAGAATGCCATAAATAATTAGGTTGCATCGTCTGCTTTTATTTTTGAGGTCATCAACCTTGAGTTGAAGGCTGGTAATGGTATTCCCAAATGTCGCTATTTTATCCTCAATACCAGCCATTCTGCCCTCAAGGTTTGCCAAAGTATCTAATTTTACATGAATGGCTTCCAAAGATTAATTTACGGCCTTGTCATTTTTAAAGCACTTATGTCAGCAGCCAACTTGTGGATTTCTGTCAACACTTCTTGATTCCCAGGGCCCGGATTACTTTCTACATCCCCAGAAAGCATCAATAAGTGCTTCAAGGATATTATACATTGGCACAAAGTTGCATACACTTGGCCTGGATATTGCAGCACCACAAGACATATTTCGTTACTTTTGTAACGTTTGCCAAAATGTTTTCTCACCTGGATCAAGAAGATGAAAGGATTATTCGACATGTTCACTGCGATGCCGCCATGCCCAATGACGTTGCCAGGCACGGAGCACTGTTTATAGGTGTAGGATGTCGATTGCGCTGTGGTGGCTGATACGCCTCTGAAGGGGGCGTAGTCCAGTCGGTTCATCAGTCCGTCAAAGGCACCGCTGCCTAGTTCGTCGATCAGTGCATTGAAAACTTGGCACATGGCAGAGCAGTCCGCGACGACAGGGTCTGCTGGGGCGCCCAAATTCCGTCTGCGAAGCGGTCGAAAGAAAGCAGGAGGTCGAGCGCCTGGATCAAGAAGACGAAAAAATTATTCGACATGTTCACTGCGATGCCACCATGCCCAATGATGTTGCAAGGCACGGAGCGCTGTTTATAGGTGTACGAAGTCTATTGCATTGCGGTGGCTGATACGCCTCTGAAGGGGGCGTAGTCGAGTCGGTCCATCAGTCCGTCAAAGGCACCGCTGCCTAGTTCGGCGATCGGTGCATTGAAACACTCGGCACATGGCAGAGCAGTCAGCGACGACACGGTCTGTTAGGGCGACCAAATTCCGTCCGCGAAGCGGTCGAAAGAAAGCAGGAGGCCGAGCGCCTGGATCAAGAAGACGAAAGGATTATTCGACATGTTCACTGCGATGCCGCCATGCCCAATGACGTTGCCAGGCACGGAGCGCTGTTTATAGGTGTACGATGTCGATTGCGCTGCGGTGGCTGATACGCCTCTGAAGGGGGCGTAGTCCAGTCGGTCCATCAGTCCGTCAAAGGCACCGCTGCCTAGTTCGTCGATCGGTGCATTGAAACACTCGGCACATGGCAAAGCAGTCAGCGACGACACGGTCTGCTTGGGTGTCCAAATTCCGTCCGCGAAGCGCTCGAAAGAAAGCAGGAGGCCGAGCGCCTGGATCAAGAAGACGAAAGGATTATTCGACATGTTCACTGCGATGCCGCCATGCCCAATGACGTTGCCAGGCACGGAGCGCTGTTAATAGGTGTACGAAGTCTATTGCATTGCGGTGGCTGATACGCCTCTGAAGGGGGCGTAATCCAGTCGGTCCATCAGTCCGTCATAGGCACCGCTGCCTAGTTCGTCGAGCGCTGCATTGAAACACTCGGCACATAGCAGAGCAGTCAGCGACGACACGGTCCGCTGGGGCTTCCAAATTCCGTCCGCGAAGCAGTCGAAACAAAGCAGGAGGCCGAGCACCTGGATCAAGAAGACGAAAGGATTATTCGACATGTTCACTGTGATGCCGCCATGCCCAATATTAAGATAAGCTCGTAATTATTATTATTATTTTTTAATGTCTTGCATGTATTGTCTAACAACTTTTTCAAAATACTGATTATAAAAATCTGTACGATGTCCAGTGAGTTATGGACATCTTTATGGCGCTCTCCAATGCTTTAAGTTCCAAGAGCAGAAATGGAATGGGTATAAGAACATGTTAAATGGCATTGGGATGACTGACAGCATTTGCTGAAAAAATGAAAGCTGTGGAAACTGAGCTTTAAGAAAATTGTGCTAAAAGCTAAGAAAATGATGTCATAAGGAACCCAGTTTTCACATTAGAGAAATGCAGGTTTGTGTTTGTCTTGAGCTCTGATCTGTCCTTTTTGTGATGGTGCTAATATGGTGGCATTGTGTCAAGGGAAAGCTGCAGATTTGCATTTTCAGAGCCCAATTTTTTTTCATAGTTTTTGATGGCAACACACTAATAAGATGCCTTTTTTCTCAACTTTACTACTTATTTTTTTGTTTAGTATTTCAGCATGACGTAAAGTATGGTCTCAAGGTTGCAAAAAATTGATAATAAATTAAAAAATCGAACATTTTGACCCAATTTACCTCTTCAATTGTCATATCCCTTCTTCAAAAGTTGTAGTGCTGCATTTGACGAGGACAAGGAGTCGTTGACAGGGCGGGTACTCACTCCAACTGTATTTATTGAAACAGCACGCATTACATTTTATAACAATCTGAGGTCACAACAATCGTGAAGAGACGGTGGGATAGTTAAACAAAAGGTGACAGCTTACACAAATCCCACTCCGCCCACCGTTTCTTCATGATTGATGTTGCCTCTGATCGTTATAAAATGCAATGCGTGCTGTTTCAATAAAAATTGTTGGAGTGAGTGCACGCCTTGTTAACAACTTCTCTTCTTGTCCTCGTGAAATGCAGCGCTACAATTTTTCAAGCTGAATTGTATGACCAACTAGCCCCGCCATGAGTTTTGTTAAGAACGATTTGAATCGTGTCTTCTTGGTGACCTGTGCAGGCCGACAGGAAACGCAAACGCATCATGAAGAAGGCCAAGATGCAAGGCGAGGGGGTAGCTGTCAAGGCCCTTGGTCTTGAGAATGAGGACGAGCTGGATGCTGTCTTGCTGGAGGACAGGCTGAGGGCAGCGCACGTGGCGCGTAACGACAGACAGATGAAGCAGCTCGATTCCAGCATGAAGTCGGTCACCGACGATGTCAACAATCGGATCAACAGGTTGGTGGAGACAGCTATGCTGTGAAACCTTGGCAGAACAGGGACATAACAAACTGTCTGCTCCTCAATGCAATAAAATCTCTTGAGTCAAAGCTTTATCAACTTGAAGAACGTAACAGTAGTCAAGGTTTCTTCTCTGGTGCTAGCAAACTCACTTGTTATTCAATGGCATCAAACTCTCATTGGTTGAGTATGTTTGGCTATACCTGGTTTAATTCATATAATCTTTGGAGAGCACAAAGAAATGTGAACATGCTTTGCAAAATGTTGAGGATTGTACCAGCTCTGACCAATGTGAAGCAATGCAGTCCGCATTGCTATACTTATCAGCATGAACTCTACAAGGCAAGAATCTTATGGGAATTGAGATATATGGCCAAAGTTGAAACTCTTTGTGTTTATTTGCTTTTATACCACCACACACTACATGCCAATGGTTGTGTGTATTCAATATAGTTGCCTTCTGTGACCTTGGACCAAAGGTGCAGCAGATGATTGTGTCGATAGTCGCTATTATTGGAATATTTCAGACCTGGTTCAGTGGTAATACAGCTAAACCTGCTTATAATGGACCTCTATGCAGTCGAGTCTGCTTACTCGAGCATGCATGGCATTCGTTCGCTGTATCCCCAAGTTCGCAGTAAAGCTTAAAAAAAAAGTTTGCAGTGACAACACAACTGTTTTTCCTAAAAAAAAGTCTGTGATGCACATGTTTCGAAGAGCAGAAGCGATAAAAATGGCCTCAAGTTATTTATTTATTTACTTATTTGGTAATACTGTCAACCCTGATAGAGGATCATAACAGAGAGGACATGCAGAAAGAATGTACAATGTTCATAAAGTTTCTTAATATTGTGACAACTCATAATGAAAACTGCTTTTCTCTTAATTAACAACTCAACATTCAAAATAACAATTCAAGAACAATTCAGATTTCACAGTCATTTTTCAAAATATTGGCTATGACCATGAAGTTGATTACATAACGTGGCACTGGAAAAAAAACTAATTTAGCAATCACGTGAATGCGCTTCTACAGCATTTTCGAAGTCAGTGACATCTTTTAAAACAACAATTTCGTTTGGCAGTTTGTTCCACATTTTTATGACATCTGGGAAAAAAGAATATCAAAATGTGTCAGTATATGTTCAGTATGGTTTTATGATGCAATCATAGTTAGTTCAGGTATTTCTTTTTCCTGGAGTGTGTAAATATTTGAGCTTATATATCTTCAATTAGTGGTGCATTATTTCGAACAATACTTTCAGCCCATATTTATTTCTACATAGCTCAAGAGGATCTAAGTTGCATCTCCATAATATCAGTGTGACTGATTCCTTCCTTCTGTACTTTGAACAAATAAAGCGCGCCGCTAGTCTCTGTATTCTTTCTAGCTTCTTCTTAAGTATAACTTTATATGAACTCCTAACAACGGACGAATATTCTAGTACTGTCCTAATGAAGATGGTGTATGCAATATGTTTTACGTCGTGCAATGCATCCTGGAGCTTCTTCTTCAATAGATATAACTTATGAACAGCTTTAGTGCAGACGTTATTTATATGCTCATTCCATGTTAATTTTGCGTAAATGTTACCCCGAGGTACTTGAACTGGGTCATTTTTACCAACCAGTGTTCAGCAATGCTGTACGAAAATGAATGGCTTGTTTTCTTTTTGCTGATGTGTGCATATGTATATTTAAAATAATTTCTTGCCATTTTCCATTTTCTGCACCAGTTATCTAAATTTTGCCAAGAATTCAGAATTTTCATTTGGTCATCTAGTTTGGTAATTGCAGCATAGATTAAGCATTCATCTGCGAAAAGTTTAACATGAACACTTTCTTCTGCCACACTACTGATATCATTGCTGTACAGGAAAAACAATAGTGGTGCCAACACTGAGCATTAGGGCACTCCCAAAAGTACCGCCTTGTGATCATTCAGTTTCACTACCTGTGTACGATGTGTTAAATAAGCTACAATCTATTTTATTACGAGTTCATTTATTCCTGCATGACATAATTTGAAGAATAATTAGACATGGGATACTTTATCAAATGCTTAAATCCACATAAATCACATCAACCTGTTGTCCTATATCTATAGCACCCGCAAAGTCATGTATTGTTTCCATTAACTGGGTCACAGTTGATAACCCCATCCTAAAGCCATGTTGGTGAGGGTATAGCAGAGCGTTCTGATCCATAAATGCAAGTATGTGTTTTGCTAATGTGTGTTCAAACACTTTGCAAGCAACGGAAGTGAGTGATACTGGATGGTAATTGTTTGCGATTGCCACCTTCAAATACAGAAATGACGAATGCAGTGCGTCAATCTCGTGGCAGTGAGTGCATTGTAAAAGATTTCTTAAAGATAATAGTTAGATAATGTAACATTTATTTTGCGTATCGCTTGAAGAATACAGTTGTTATCATTGGCACCACTCGATTTTTTCGTATCTATTGTGAGTAGCTGCTGAAATACTCCTTCCCTTGCTATTTCAAGTGTTTTCATTGAAACAGTAGGACAATTTCTTAAGTCTTCTTCCATACTTGCTGTAGTTTCTGGTAGGTTAAATACAGACTGAAAGAATTAGTTAATATGGTTTGCTATGGTTATAATATCACTATTGACATGTAATTCATCGCCTACTCCTTTCCTGTCGCTAAAATACTGCCCGAATTTCTCGGGCGAAGACCTAAGGAAATCACTGAGAGTTTTTCAAAGAATGTTTTTTTTAGATTTATTCAAAGCATGCTTGAGATCAATCCTTAGATTTTTTAGAGCCACTGGCGACTTGCTCTTTTTACGCAGTCTCCTAATTTTTGTTTTCATATGAATTATATCTCGAGTGATTCAAGGACTTCTTTGTTTCTTTTTTTTAACACGCGATAGAACATAATTGTCTATGCAGTAACTTATAACACATTTAAGTTCGTGCCATAGTTTTTCTACTGATTTCAAACCAGAGGTGGTCTCGAAGTTCTCAAATTGGACCTCCAAATAGTCAAGAATTGAAGTATCGTCGGCCGTAGCATAGTTTTTAACCTTTATGTGTGTATAACGTTTCACATATCGCGTTGCTCAAACAGGCAGCTCAAGACGGATCTTTCTGTGATCCGATATACCACCTTCCACCATCACTTTGTAATCATTTAACTCATTGGATAGGAACACCAAATTTAGTTATAGTTAACCTTGACGTCGGCTCAATTCTGTTATCCTCAAGCACTATTTACTTCAGTAAACATAATTTATAGAGTTTTTTCAGCCTTTACTGGTTCCCCACCACTGTACGAAAAATGTTTGCAGTTTAAATGTGGAATATAAAATCTCCAGTTATTATCAACCTAGTGTTCCCATTTACATGCTCATATAAAAACTTGCTCAAGCATTTCGGGAACTACGGGGAGTTTGAGGGTGGCCGATATACAACTCCAATAAGAAAAACAGTACTGTCACAAGTTAATCTGCACCAGAAAGTTTTTGGTACTTCACAATCAATCAATAAAGCATTTAGAGAACCTTTAACAACAATGCACACCCCACCTCCACTTGAGTCTCTGTCTTTTCTAAATATATTGTAACAGGGAGGTACAACACAATCATTCGGCACATTTTCATGCAACCATGTTTCCGTTATTGTGATTTTGTGAGGATCGTGTGAGAGCAATTGGTACTCAATGTGCGTAGTCTTGTTCACTACACTGCGAGCATTGAACGAGAGCAATCTGAACTATTTTCTTGGTGTCTCAAAAGAGCGGCTTGAGCTATCAGATTTTTTTGACTTAGTTGGTATGATGCGCTCACTTCGTTTCGTTTTATCAGTGTCACGTTTGCCCAAGAGCAAATAGCGCTGGCCTCTGACGTCATCCCATGCGTATAAGTCACCGTTTATCTTAAGTTTATCGTGCACGAGAACTACTTTCGCACCTACCTCCCTGTTTGAGGCAGCGCATCGCCATAACCCATTTTGTATCTGCACTGTTTCCTTCGCATAGTGGTTGCTTATTCTGATTGAAGTTCCTTTTAGTTTTTTGCAGCTTTTAAAGATGGCATCTTTTTCTTTGCCATTGTAAAATTTTAAGATCACTGGTCTTGGTTTATCCAGGTTTACTTTGCCTGTCTACAATCCGACCTTAACAACATTATTACCTGGTGTAACCTCTGGCACATGGATCTTAACGTTTCTAAATGTAAATCAATGAGAATTTCGCGTAAGAAACTACCTAGCCCTAATTACTTTCTTAAAGATATCTTACTAGAGTCAGTTGAATCTTACAAATATCTCGGTGTGCACATAACCAATAACCTATCCTGGGCGCGCCAAATTGAATATGAAACATCTAATGCAAACCGCATGCCAGGCTACTTGAAAAGAAATTTCTCGCTGTCCCCGTCTTCCTTAAAAAAGCAGCTATATATAACCTACGTGCGCCCTAGGCTTGAATATGCTTCCTCAGTTTGGGACCCTGGCTATGTAACACTGTCTAATAAAATTGAAGTTGTGCAAAACCGCTCCGCGAGGTTCATACTTTCTAACTATCACCGTACTTCCTGTGTTACTAACATGAAATCCAGCCTTGACCTTGCTACTCTTGCTACTCGCCGGAACTTGCTCGCCTTTGTGTGCTGCATAAAGCGTATCACCATAACCCCATACTTAAATCACGTTGGCTAAACCCTCCTTTTTTCCTATCTGAACGCCTCGACCATCATTACAAGGTTCATATTCCGCGCCAAAACACCGTAACATACTCCCATTCTTTTTTACCGAAAACATGCCATGATTGGAACAAAACCTGCCTGCGCCACTAGTCACGATTACTAATCATGAACGCTTTCGGGCGGCACTCGAAAATTTTATCCACTGATGTGCTCAACGCATTTTTTTTTTCCCTGGTTTTGTTTGCTGCTGTTCAGTTACCGTTCATTTGTGTATCGCAGATACGTTGTGCCATGTTGTAAATTTTTTTTTTTACTTTCTTTGTGTGTT